GCTTGTAAAAGGAATTTACTTCTAAAATCTTCCCTCCATGAATAAAATTGATGAACAGCAGATTGTCATTGTGCTTGGAAAGAGGAAGCAAGCACAAGAGCTTCTCCTTCAAGGAGACAAAGTCCATCCTGCCTCTCCAGTTACCCTAGCTGGTCTTCTATTTCTGAAAATGAAACAGCCTTTCTGCTCTGAGTGGAGCTTTCTCTTAAACAGAGTTAGATAGACATTTGCACACAAAAGTTCTCTGTAAAAATGACAGCTTCTCAATAAATGTAAATTTTGACAGAAGATGGCTTGAGAAAAAATAAGAAAGAAGCAGTTTAGTAATGTAAAAAGCATCCTGTTTCAGCATTTCCTTTTATTTGCAAATTACTTTTTTAAAACTTTATCCTAGAAGGCCAAAGTCTAAACCAAACATCTTATTTTTTCTTAAAATAAAAAGTCTGAATTGGTCTGAAATGCTACTTCTATTAAAAAAATGTCAGAATCAAACTCAAATTACATTTTGAAGTTACAGAATTCTCTTTGGAAAGAAATGTCATGATTCTGAATTATATTTAAATCACTATCTGTCATTTTTTTAATCCAGCGTTCATGGTGGAATCTTGAAATGTACTATGTTAACAACGGAATCTGCTGATTTTATTAATCCAAACTGGAGATGACTGTTCAAAATGAAGGTTACAGGAAAAGTTATCAGTAAAAATAGCATTTTCAAATAGATGTAGATATATTCTTCTGACTGTTAGAAACTGGTTTAATTCATGTCAACCATAGCAGCCAAGCAGGAACAAGAGTTGCATGCTGGTGACTATGACTTTACTTGAAAAGGTAGCAAAACCTGTGCCTATATCTCATTCAGCAGAAGACCTCTTTTACAGTACAGCAAGCTATTTACTTTAGCTTTCCAATGAACTCTGGTATCATGCTAAAAGACCTAATTATGCCAAGGGGTCTCTCTCAAAGACTGAATAGCATAAAAAAATATAGAAATCATTTAAAACATAATTCAGAAAAGCATTTTCATTTTAAATGCTTTTTCAAATTTATGTCTTGCTCTTCATGAGTTCTGGAAATCTCTGTCAGCAGGACTCAGTTCTGACACTGAGTTATACTGTCCTTCATGTGGAGTGATGCCCTCTCAAATTCAGTTTTCCTTTTTGGACTCTATATTCTTACATGCTAATACATGCATACATATGCATACACAAACACACTTACACAAAGCCATTACTTACACAGATTTAGTCTAGATGTCTTATCTCAGATTATCTTTTCGCAATAATCCTTCTGCATTTTTACACCCTTATGTTACAAACCCCATCCATCACAGATATGTAGTCAAAGTGCTTAAGCTTCCAAACTCAAATGTACATTTAAACAAAGAAGAAAAGGAAAAAAGAAAAAACGAGTAATACTATTAGCTCTCAAATCTTGACAAATTCAATACCATCAACAAACTGCTGTTCCTTGCTCTATGCATAGAGGAAATCTTTGAGAGACAAAGCCAACAAAACAGTCTGGAAGCTGTGTGAAAGAAGAAACGAGAATTCATCAAAACAAAACAAATAAGGAAGAAAAAGGGAAGAGGGAAGAAAAGGGGAAGAAAAAGGGAAGAGGGAAGAAAAAGGGAAGAAAAAGGGAAGAAAAAGGGAAGGGAAGGGAAGGGAAGGGAAGGGAAGGGAAGAAAGAGAAGGAGAAGGGAAGGGAAGGGAAGGGAAGGGAAGACATGACATCTCTTGGGAACTCTTAGATTTAGCTCCCATCCCATCAAGATGGGATAGGGTTACTGAGTAGAACTGAGTTGAATTTGATTTTGTTTTGCAAAGAAGTTATGTCACAGAATCACAGAACGTTAGGGATTGGAAGGGACCTCAAAAGATCATCTAGTCCAATCCCCCTGCCGGAGCAGGAACACCTAGATGAGGTTACACGGGAAGGCGTCCAGGCGGGTTTTGAATGTCTCCAGAGAAGGAGACTCCACAACCTCTCTGGGCAGCCTGTTCCAGTGCTCTGTTACGCTCACTGAGAAGAAGTTTCTTCTCAAATTGAAGTGGAACCTCCTGTGTTCCAGCTTGTGTCCGTTACCCCTTGTCTTGTCATTGTCACTGAGAAGAGCCTGGCTCCATCCTCGTGACACTCACCCTTTATATATTTATAAACATGAATGAGGTCTCCCCTCAGTCTCCTCTTCTGCAAACTAAAGAGACCCAGCTCCCTCAGCCGCTCCTCATAAGGGAGATGCTCCACTCCCTTCATCATCTTTGTAGCCCTGCGCTGGACTCTCTCCAGCAATTCCCTGTCCTTCTTGACCTGAGGGGCCCAGAACTGGACACAATATTCCAGATGCGATCTCACCAGGGCAGAGTAGAGGGGGAGGAGAACCTCTCTCGACCTACTAACCACCCTCCTCCTGATACACCCCAGGATGCCATTGGCCTTCTTGGCCCCAAGGGCACAGTGCTGGCTCATGGTCATCCTGCTGTCCACCAGGACCCCTTAGGCTAGTACTGTAGTCATTCTCACATTTTCACAGTCATCTTTCATACCAGGTCACTCATGTGTTGTGTTTGATCTTGGCTGGCTGCTAAAGGCCCACCCAGCTGCTCTCTCACTCCTCCTTCTCAGCAGTAGAGGGGCAAAATGTAAGACGGAAAAGCTCACGAGTTGAAATAAAGACAGGGAGATCAATTGCCAGTTAACATCAGGGGCAAAACAGACTTAACTTATGAAAATGAATGTAATTTATTACCCATTTAAAGTGGACTTGAATGGTGAGAAACAAAGTGAAAAACTAATACACTTTCTTCCCCCTCAATTCTTCCCAGTCTCTACTTCACTCATTCATTTCTGCTTATGTTGGCAGTTTGGAAGTATGACAGAAAGCTTCTAATTTCTAATCTAGTAGTCTGATTTTATGTTTCAAATCATGCTGACTTTGCTGACAAATGTGGGCAAAAGGCTGCTTGTGAGGTATTCTAGACTATAAATAAACAAATAAATATATGCATCCACATTCTGTGGCTACCATTCAGGTGGGGGTGAGTGTAGGGCATAACTGTCTCTGATTATAAAGTTCTAAACTGGTTTTGTCTCATCACCTATTTGTAATTAGTGCTGAGTTCCTTTATTTTACTGCCTTTCTTGGTTATATTTCAGACCTCAAAATCTAAAAGAAGTTTCTTTTCTTGTAAAAAAACTGCACAATCATTGTCTGTTCTCCATGAGGATCCTCCTTTATGACATGTAGACTGTTGGCAGAGAAGAGTGAACTGCATGCTGACAATGAATTTTCATTTTTCACAATTGTAGTATTATTTCACTAGAAAGCAGCAGTTGTTGTAACACTATTTTTTCGCCACTCTACAGAATTTGACAAATAAAAGAAAACATTGATATTTTGCATATTATAATGATGTCTCATGCTATACAAGTTCCATTTGACTTATCTGGTAGTGACCTCCAAAGCTTCTGTATTCTACTCAGCAACAATAATTATATGGCACTTAACCTTAAGAAAATGAAGTTATACATTCCAATGAGACAAAGACAGAATTTACCCAAAGACTGGGTTGAGATCTGAAAAAAAAAGCCTAGAAATCATTCTCAAAACTGGCTTCAGCATTCTTCTTTTCATCAAAACAGTAGCTAGGAAAAGAAAGCTGTGAATTCAATTGTAATGACCATATTCAAACTTCTGTGTTAGTCCTAAGTCTGTGTCTAGATCAGGAAATCACAGATAATTTTTCCTGATTAAGATATTATGTGATTTTTTAGGGTGGAAGTTGAGATGGACGTATACATATCATCTGATTCTTAACTTCTAGATGCAACAGTAGCACACATTATAAGCTTATGATTCTACTGATGATTTTAAGAGGATAGCAAGTGATATTGACTCTCCTTTCACTGTCAATCTTGAGGATGCATGGGATTTAACTTACTTGCTTTTTTGAAAGCAGATAGGACTGATGGAACTTAACATTTCTTAAGAAAAGTCTTCATTTTTTGTCCAGACGAGCAGTTCTGCTGTCCACTGTTAGTGATAAAATTGTCCTTAAATATTCACTTCTTCAGGATTGTCTTTTTGGTTCAGCTTGGCACACAGATGACCCCTAACTGTTTAACCAGGCAAAAAAGGAATCTAGATTGCTGATGGCAAAAGTCCTCCACAGAGTCTGATTAATTGTGACAAAGCATTTTTACAACTTTATTCTGCTGGTTTGTTGCAGAGAAAGAAGTATTCTTCCCCTCTTACAGTGCTGTTCAGATAACCTGTAATAGTGGGAATTGTTAATTTTTTGTAGGTAAAACTATTATGTGTAAAGTGGCATTATATACTAGGAGAAAACAGATGCATCTAACAGGGCCTAATAACATGTTATATCATAAATCTGTTTTGGTCACTCTGAATTTCTAATTTCCCCATTCCCTTTTATACATTGAAGTGTGACAGCAGAGATGATTCACTTCAATTCCATTAGTCACAGGTATATGAGCATATTCTAAAATTATAGTCTGTATAGTTGTCTGCAAGCTATCTGGGTGAACTTCTCTGAAGAGAGGCTGAGGGTGAAGAAAAAAAAGGAATAGGAAACTATTGCTTAACTGGACAGTGCTCACTAGACCTTTTTCTTCTAAGGAAAGTGGGATGTATAAAAAACACCCAGACAAAAGTAGGGTAAAGACTTTCTTTGCAGTCAGCCTTCTGGCCTTGACGAGGAGTTAAGGACCTTTACACTCGAGGTATTGAACTGCCTGCATCTATCCAGACATTTGTCAGCTCTAGATTGAGTTACCAAAATGTATTCTGACATCTTGAATATTGTTTAAGAATAAAAACCTCTGAAGAACAGGGGTTTTTTTCTTTTATATATTTTATAAGAAAGCCTTTACAGAAGCTTTCATTTGCTTCTAATCCATAAACTACATTCAGTGTATTGGCTCACAGTACTCTTAATCCCATATAGCATATATTCTCCTCATTGTGATCACAGGACATGGGTAAGACATGTTCATGCAAAATAAGGCAATGATGAAAAAAATGTAGTTATTGTTTAATAGAAATTATTTGCCAAACAAGTGGATAATTTTGATCAAGAGAGAAAAAACCCCAGAATTTAATATTGCAAAACCAAGTTATTTTTCAAAGAATATCTTAAAAATTAGTTAGGATAAGACAAGATATTTTATTCAATCTGACTTCAGATATTTGGAGGTTGTCATCTAAGTAGAAAAGGAGTATAGAGAAATTTGCTTGAGGCTAATTTACTGATTAAGCCAAACTTAAGAATCTTAATGGTACTTTTCATACAAAAGCTACCTACCTTTGAAGTGAACAGTTTCAACTGAGGTTATGTTATTATCTGAGAACAATCTTCAAACCTGTTTGATCACAAAAAAAACCCAACTAGTGCTATGATGAGTTTCAAAGATGTGTAAATTACTATGCATTTACTCTTGTTTAACTGAAGCATGAAACTTAAGTGATAATGATTTTAGTTTTAGTCATGAGGAATATGAGACCTTATTCTACTGTTTGCTTGGACACTCGATACATCCACCAGATGCTGTTCAGTTTTTTACTGTATTCAATACTGAAACCACTGTGTGTGGTTTACAAGAATTAGGTGCCTTCTTAAAATATGCTGATTCCTTGTTTTGTACTCATTTAGGTACATCTGTTATTCAAGTGACAGCCACAGATGCTGATGATGCCAATTATGGAAACAGTGCCAAAGTGGTTTACAGCATCCTCCAAGGACAGCCATATTTCTCAGTGGATCCGGAAACAGGTTAGCAATTTGTTCAGTCTTACTTTTTTTCAATAACAAAGACAGGATGCAGGTATCAAGATACACTTTCTTGCATTTAAATATTGGAACAGGCTTATGGCATCATGACTTGAGACAAAGCCAATACACTTTTTCTAAATGGAAGCCAGAATCACAGTAAAAGAGTGTCATTAAAAAAAAAATATTGCAGAAGAAGAACTGTTTTATGTGTTATCAATCAGATTTCTGGAAGACAGCTATTAACTGTAAATGTCAACAGTTCAGAAAGAGTACAGAATACTGTAAAAGGTCCAAAGAATCATGACAATATTAAAGCTTATTTTACACTAATTTCTGGGAATTTCATCTGTTTCTTTAAGAAAAGTAAAAAGGAGCTGGACAATTTCAGATTGTAAGGCAAAAAAAAAATAAATCCCCAAAGGTAAATTAATTGTTACTAAACATTTGTGATAGATCTTGATCACTGACAATTTCTAACTCCAGATGCTTTTTGAAACTTCAGTCTGATTCCAACAGCTATTAGAATTAAAGCAAGAAGCATTAATGTTTTTAATTTGTAAAACAAGAATGGAAGCCCTTTTCACTATTATGCAAGTAATTGAATAAGAGACAGACATTAAAAAGAAAAGCTTGTGTCAACTTTAGATATCTATAAGCCAAAATTGGTGTTCAAAACTGAAACAGACTACACCCTCCCCTGGTCCAGATACCTAATCCTAATGCACATAAGACTTAGATTGAAAGGTTTATTGCAATATACCTTGTTTTTATTGCTCTGGATTAACAACTGCACAATATATCTTACCTGAATCCATTTAAAAACTGTGAGATTAAGATGGGTGGTGTTTCTTCTTCTTCATCTCTCTCTCTCTCCTTTTTATCTCTTCTCCAAGGCGTAATTAAGACCGCTTTACCAGACATGAGCAGAGAAAACAGGGAACAGTATCAAGTGGTCATCCAGGCCAAAGACATGGGAGGTCAGATGGGAGGACTATCGGGGACGACCACCGTGAACGTCACACTGACAGATGTCAACAACAATCCGCCTCGCTTCCCCCAGAGTATGGAGCATCTAATAGTTCTGTTATTTTCCAAAGAACCTCTCTAAAATCAGCTGTTTTACTATCACCATCTGGGATCTTCTTTTTTTATCCCTTTTTTTTAGTATAAACACTCCTCTGGTGCTGTGTCTGTTTATGTTAAAGCATTATTAAGGCAAATGGGAATCTCTACCTCAATTTTTTTAATAGGAAAATGTTTCTCAGAATTATAAACTTCCTATTCTTACTCTGCTTACAGGAATGTGAACTGTAACATTAATGTAGGCTAACTGCAGGGACTTGAAAGCCTTTAGAGGAATTTAACTACAAAATCTAGGGTTAAGGCTTTGGAGACCCTTGCAGTTCCACATGTTTAGACAAGCAAATAGGTCAAAAAATTTTCTAATGTACCACCTCGCACAGGCAGACTTGGTCAGGTGGTATGCTCTGCTGGAAGTCTAAACATTTGGTGTAAGTACTTGTAATTTGCATTCAGCTCTTGTTGCTGACTGATTTTGATAATCCATACCAGTTTGACACAATTAAGTTATTTTAAAAATGTCTCTGTAGAATAAAAAATTATGAACAACGAAAAGCTGCACAGTACAGAAAGCTTCACAATATACTGCTGATCCTTTCATCCTGGGCCACTGATTTAAATCCAGACCCAAGTTGCTATAATCAGCATCTGATAACTGTTTAATAGGCTGCAGATAGAAGTTTACAGCCTCTGTTCAGTGCCTGCAGGAAGAATGTCCGTATTATAAAATTTGAATTGCTTGTTGGCATTGTTTAGGGACCTGACCGGGTCTCTACAGATTCACCAAGGACTGAACAAACAGAGCTGATTTAGAAAACTCTCTCTTTGACTTGAAGAAACTTGAAAAGCACTTCAGTGTCATGCCAATAAGTATGCTCAGAATAGTATAAACAGGTCAACCTGGAACGCATTTTTAAAAACGTTAGAAAACTGACAGTGTTGGAGAAAGGATTCCTGAAGTAGCATATAACTTTTTTACCACTATACATGATAACAGATTGTTTTTTTAAAAAGAAACAGGAGGGGAAGTATTGCATTCCTCATAAGGAAAATATAATTTGAATTCACACTTAGAGTTTACTTGTTGATAATCACCTTCACATGGCATACTCACACAACGAATTTTAATCAACCTTCCTATTTGACCTCGAGAGGGAATACTGCTTAAACATGTGTAGCGTGATATAACCCATAGAATGCTGGCAAATAGGAATTCTTGAACCTAAATTTGAAAGTAGTGTAGCAGGTTACCCTGTAAGCTTTGTTGCTTTGTTGCTTGAAGGGAAATTAAATTAAATTAAATTAAATTTTACAAATAAAGATTGAAGAATGCATAGAACTGCAAAATAATTCAGGGGTTTTAGTCTCCTTAGCCTTTGTTCCTTATGAAACTCTTCTTTCAGGATTAGCTGAAGCCTGAAGTGTATGGAAGCTCTTCTGATTATTTCAGTAAGCTCTGGGTTTAGTATTTAATTATAGAGAAATTTACACAATTTGATGCCTCATACAATATTCTCTGTAGCATTCTACTTTGAACATCACTGAAACACATTGGATGAACTATAGAAGACCTACTGTGGGATCTATTCCCTCTTATTTTCTTTCTACTCAACAGAGTGGTTTTCAACACTTCGTAGGAAATCAAACATAGAGAAACATCTAGAGTTTTTGATTCGTTCTTAGATAGTTGTAAAGAGGGGGCATACTTTCAAAGACCTATCTAGTTTTAGAAGTCTGCTTCTTCAAAGAACAATTATCTTCTATTTTCTCTTACATGAGGCAACAATAAGTGAAAATGCGGCCCAAACTAGAGGTTGAATTGCAAAAGGAAGCAACAGGAGTTCATGTCCTTACACTGAAGAAGTAAAGATTGATTTCTTAGAGGAACAGAAGAAAGGAAAATGGCAGAATGCATTGTGAAGTTTTGCTTTGCTCAGGCTGCATTAGGAACAAATATATTTTCTTTTTTTGTTTTGTTTTGTTTTGTTTCCAGAAAGAAATCCTGGACAGTTTAATGACATAGGCCTAAACTGAATTTAATGGCACCATAATGAAATAATTACACATTTTAAATTCAATTGTACTGAAAATCAAATTAGCCATCTTGCATGGTAAAAATGTGTAGCACTCATGCAACACTACAAAAATAAGGAATGCTTTCAGATGCAGAAAGCACTCAAGAGACTTTTTATTCTGGAATAAGTCATAAGTAGCATGATTAAATCTCTTCTTACAGTATTTCTGGCTCACCTGCTAGACCCTTGAATTTGAGCAAGCCTTCAAACACATGGTTAGCTGCCAGGAATCCTAGCTTTCATCCCATTTTCAGCCTGGTTTAAAGGAATAATGTGCATTTTAGTCCTTGTGGATTGCAGCCAAACTGTCTACTGTTGAGTTTTCACTTACATCCTTGAATTTGTAACAGCGAATACAATTTAACATCAAACATTAGCTTCCATTTTGTTACACATCTATACAAATCTAAGATATTTGCAGTGACACGTTTTTGTACTTAATCTGTACAATTGGGCATAGAAACTCATTCAGCACTTAGATGTTTGGTATAGTCCTTGTACTTAGCAGGAACCTTCAGAACCCTTGAAGTGTCCTAAAAGAAAGAAAAGGACATATAAATGCAGGAAATAAGCAAGTTGAAAGAAAGATACTTCACTGTACTATCAAGTCAATACAATTTATACAGATTGAACCTTTTTTGGACTTTTCAAATAAGGATTGTGCATTTTATGATGTGCTAATTTTATCAGATTCAGACATCGGAGGTATTTTTGCAGTGCTACTACTTCATTTGGTAAATTAATATTAATTTACATAAGAGAACAGTTCAAAGGAAACATCAGATTCTGGAACATCACATGTAAAAAGTTGGATGTATTAGATTTCTTCTTTACATTTTCTTGGTAGGAAATAAATGAAAATACTGATTTAGAAATATTTGTGTCTTGCTAGTGATGAAAGGTGTTCATTGCCTAGTTCTAACTGGTCAAGAAAACCATCTGATTAGTACATTTTCTGCAAGAGTATGTCTTTATAATCAGATTTTTATTGCAATTGTTATTAGAGCATACATATAAATTAACTTTTCATATACATAGGCAAGATTAAAATTTTAAGTAATAAGAATTCTTTCTAGCAAACTGTGATTATAAAAGTAAATAAATTAAATCAACCATTGAAAGAGCAGAAAAATTATGTGCGGAGTAAATTAAAGAAAATCTGAATTTATCTGCATATCAATTAATGTTACCAATTAACATGAGCATGTATCCAAATGCTCTTTACTATGACTCTTTAGTATGTATTACCAATAATGAATGAATGAATTACTTTGACACAGAACACCTACAAAACTTGAATGTATTTTTCAAAAGAATAATAAAAAAATCTTATTGTATTTTAGTCTCTTTCTAAAATCCACAATCATTTCTACAGCTCTTCTGCCTTTGGAAAACAAAATAAAATACCCTACTACTACATATGTGGGAACATTTCTATAACACTGAGAGAAAAAAATATATACTATTAAATAATTAAGGTTAGAACTGGTGACTTTTGTTGAGCTTCTCTGTTCCTTAAGGCTGAAGAACAAGAACAAAAACAAAAACAAAAAAAGCTTTAAAGAATTTAAAGCATGATACTAAATGGCTTTGAATAATCACTTGAAATTTTTATGACAGTTTGTCAATCAACTCCGTACCCTGTTTTAAAGGTTAGTATGATGACTAGCAGCATTTTTCTTAAGGTGTTTCAGACTCCAAGTTACTTAAAAAATCCAGGTAAAATTGAAGATATTTATTATTCAGAAGAACAAATCTTAAAATAATAAATGATTGATTTTACTCTTCCAGGCACCTACCAGTTCAGCTCTCCAGAGTCTGCACTACCTGGAACTCCCCTTGGCAGAATTAAAGCCAATGACCCTGATGTGGGTGAAAATGCAGAGACCGAGTATAGCATCTCAAATGGGGATGGGTCAGACATGTTCGATATCATCACTGACAAGAACACTCAGGAAGGGATTATAACTGTAAAAAAGGTTTATTTTTTTCTCCCTCTCTTTTATATGTACTTAGCTCTCCAGGTGTTATAGTTATTTTTCTTTTTCCAGGGGAAGGGAGTGTAGATCTCACGAGGGGTCAGGCTGCCAAGGAGTTCTTGTATTAGTTTTGTTCTTCTCTTTCTTCACCAGATATCTGTTATTTTCAAGTCTCAAGGGAAATTTACTGGCATGTCACTTCACATAAAGCAATATTTCAGTGGTTGTTGTCTGTTCAATACATATATTCTCACAGATAGTACTTTTGAATTAGGGCTGTGAGAACCTGGAGGGGTTCAGTTCACAGTGGGGTTTCCCATCTGAATGCTGCAGTAAGGCTCACAAGGGATGGAGGCTCACCTGAAGTTTGATGAATTTACACCTCCAAGGCTAAACTGTCCCCCTCTGATTTGAACAACAGTGTATCAGTCAGAACCTAAAATCTGTCTTGATTTTAGTTCAACTATGGTGAAACTTAAGTTGTTACATATTATGTCAACAGAAGTCCACAGAGCAAAGACATGTTCAGACATTTAATTGAAAATATAACTTCTGACAGATTTATTGGTTATTTTTAGTGTTCAGACTGTTAAACTCTGAACACTATTTTCAGTTCTATTCTTACTGAACATAGCAGTAACAATTAATTGATATATACATATATATATAAAATACAGATCTATACACATAGATATGAAAATATGTATATTTATGTACATGCATGCATGTATATGCATTCACACATGAATGTATATATGCATATGTATATACGGATTCACCTAATATAAATATCAAATAGTCTGGATATCAGACTTTACTGTTTTTCTTTACACTCTGTTATATGGAGGCCAGGGACAGGTCTGGGCTGCTCCTGATGAAAAATAAGCAAGGATAGATGGTAATGTGAGAAGACTAAGAAAAAATGAAATAAGACAGAGAACATTTAAGAGCTGGGATAATTGGTTTTGTTCCCACAAAAAAGATGAGACAAATAAGACCTTTAGCAATTCTTACTTGTGAATTGAGTCCAACTTCCCTAATTCTTTCTCTGTATTTTTCTATAGGTTGACCCTCCCAGTTTTCTAGGAATCTGAACAAGTAGTAGGCAAAGGGATCATAATTGCCTTGCTGCTCTATAATAGTACTTATATTTCTTATATTTAGAACAAGCCCTAATATATTTCTTATTCTCCAAGATGCATTATATTTTAGAAGTTTTCCTCCTAAAAATGCCTACACTAATTCAACATTTATAAAAGTCACTCACATTTATTGTAAAGTGACACAATTATCCTTATTATTATTTTTTTCCTCAGCATATGGATTTTGAAAACAAGATGTTATACACCTTAAGAGTGGAAGCAACCAATACCCATCCTGATGCTCGTTTTCTTCAGCTGGGGCCATTCAAAGACACAGCTTTAGTCAAAATTTCTGTGGAAGGCGTAGATTTGTTCAGCAGGCCCTGGTATTTAATAGAGGTAGATGAAGATGCCAAAGAAGGAAGCATTATTGGGCAGGTTGTAGCCCAAGATCCAGATATAACAAAGAATGCAATAAAGTAAGCCATTACACAGTGTAAAATGCTCTGGATATGGGTCAAGTCTCATGTACAAAGTGTGACAAGAGTGCAAGGTAATAGGGGGTACTTAAGTAATGAAGCCCATAGGGCTACTGAAAAGTGTCAAGCAGAGAAATATCTATGAGAGCTTGTGAAGGCAAAGACTGTTAACAGTGGAGAGTATGCTTTTGATGCACAGGGTACAGATAAAAAGAAAGGAGAGGTCAGCATTTAACTGACATCATGTTCTAGTTCTTTCGACAAACTGTACATAAGATGTTGCCATGTTTCCAATGGTAAACTTACATAAAATAGTCAAAATAGTGTATTTCTATGCTCTGTGCTGGTTAAAAGCAGTCAGCCTTCTGTGCCTTCATAATCTCCTAGACATACCAGTATCTATCATGTTCCATAGCTTAACTATTTAATGATCACATTATATTAAATAAGAAATGATTGCAAGAAATTCATAATAATTAGAGGGAAGAATTCAGTGCTGTGAAAATGCTGTAATTGTTATGTATCTGCTATTATTATCTGCAGTGTCAAACACAGAAATGGATTTTTTGTATTTACCTTGTAACTGATTAGGAAACCTGGTTTCTGCATTTCTGAACAAACCTGTTATGTCCTGCAGCAGTACACTTTGGGGTAGGAGGTGTGAGAGGAGGAAGAAAATAAAATATTTTTAAGTAATCTATGAATAAAGTTTCAAGTGAACCTGATAGTGACTGGTGACTACTAGACTAATTAAAAAAACACCTGCAAAACAAGTCATTCCTTGCTGGGAAAGAAGCAAAAACAAGTGTTACAAAATAAGATTTTAAGAACTTCTGTCTTTAACAACAACTAATCCAAAGATTTTTCTGGTGATTTTGATGGTCCTTGAGACATCTAAAAAATATCTTGTTATAAATTGGTATGTATTTATATTGGCAATGTGTGTCCTTTGATGACTGAGGTCTCCAAGAAAGAGTGAATTTGCAAAAATATTACCTAAGCATGTTCACTTTTAACTGTTATTTCAGCATTCACTTTGTAAGCTAAAATGTAATTTCAAATATCAATCTAACAAACTGCCCACAGAAATACTTCACTTTTCATCCTACTCACTAGCCTTCAAAAAATCTTTCCCAATATTTGTAACTTGCTGCACTTCTCAGGCAACTACAGGAAAGCTTAGGTTAATTATAAAGAAAAGATTCTTGATTAACCACAGTATAAAACTTTTAGACATGGCCGCAGGATAAACTAGAGACATTAACAGGAGATAGTGATTCTCAGTTGTACTGTATCTTGACAGATATTCTGTGGATCGACACACTGACCTTGACAGAATATTCAACATCTATTCAGGAAACGGATCCTTATTCATCTCAAAGACACTTGACCGGGAAGAAAGTCCCTGGCACAACATCACTGTCATAGCAACTGAAATCAGTAAGTTGGAGAATATTTAGCTTGGAAGAACATCAGAAATGAGAAAAGACTGAAATTCTACAGTATCTATGACTTATCTTGTTTCATTACTTTTGCCCTTATTTAGGTATTATCAACAGACAGTATTTTTAAAAACAAAACTAATAGTTCCATTTACTACTTTAGGATTATCTCTGCCCATGTGTGAAAAGATAATTTGGAATTCTCAGGCTCAACAAAACCATGTCGAGTATATATTAGACAAGTTAACTAGTTCCCTGAGAATTCCCAGCAAACAATTCAGTGCAGGTGTGATACACTGGCCTTATCCTTAACTAAGTCTTTGGGAAAATCCTTGGAAAAAAAGCTGTTCATGATGGACAAATAACACATTGTCAGAACAACCAATGTATACAGGGGAATAAATTATACTTTACCTCAACTGCTTTAACTTAACTTAGGAAATGGCTTAATTTAAAGACAAGATTAGAAGAAATTCTTTCCCCTCCATGTCTGAAGCAAACCCTAGCCCTAAGTCTTTCACCTGGATGCCTTAATGTTCTGTTGGAACCTTTTAGATCTGGATGCCTCTTGCCTGCCTCTTCCTTCCAGCCAACTGATAACAATCATCAGAAGTGAAATAGAGACACTGATTTTAGGGAACAAATTTTCTCCCTTCCTTCATTCTCCTTATAGATTCCCCAGGAGTGTATGTACTTAACAGTCTGGGAGTTGGGTAATAAAGACTGATGTCTTTTCCTTTTAAATGCTTTGTCATTGTTTTGTCAAATATGATCTCAATTTTCAATATGTATACTGTGAAATTCATCTCCAGTGACAGCTTGACCTTGGAGGTCAAGTTTGTGAAGACTAACTGATGACAACATCTATATATGGAATTCTTTTTTTTAAATGTTTTTTTTTTATTTTTACATTTTGGGGAGAAAGGACAACTTTGGGTTTTGTTTGTTTGTTTTTTTGTTTGTGGTGGTGGTGTTGACTGACACTGTTTAACTGCGTTGAACAAGTAAATGTTCTTGACAGCTTGACCTCCGGAAACAGTTTTTGCAGTGAATCATTTACTGCACTGATTTATGGAGTTCAAGTCAATAATAACTCAGTGGTCTGGCTTTAATGCAAATCAATTTAGATATACTTTATATTATTCAAAATACATATACTATAATAGAATTATTTGCTTTAAATATAAATGGGGGTTTTAATACATATAGAATGTATGTCAGTAGGAAATTAAATATAATTGTTTTAATGTAAATCTTTGTATCATAATATAAACAATTTTCTTGTTTCAGATAATCCTAAACAAAGTAGCCAGATACCTGTCTTCATCCGGATTTTAGACATAAATGATCATGCACCAGAATTTGCCAAGTATTATGACACATCGGTTTGTGAAAATGCAAAAGCAGGACAGGTAAACAAATACTTATGTTACTGAAGAACTTGTAATGAGACTATTCTGACATACCATCATGAAAATCAGTGAATCTTAATTTGAACAACTGCAAACCAACCTAGCCTTTTTATTCCCTAGCTTCTACAAAAACCACCAATTATTTAAAGAAAAGTTTGAGGAGATAAAAGATGCAGGATTTTACACTAGTATAATAACATGGCATATAATAGAAAATTGTATTTTAAAATATTTCTTCATTCTTAATATCAGAAAATATTTTTCTTAACTAGTTATACTTAATGCTACAAAACTCTTTGCATTGATAATTCAATTTCTGTCTGGATTTCTTTCAAAGCCTTAGTTGATGAAGCCACATCTTCAATCACAGAAAGCAGGAAAATAATTTATTTTGCTTCAGTAAAGGAGATGTGTTAAATAAACTTTTACAGATAAAACAGAATGCAACTGTTTCCATTGTAAGTTATACTTCAATTTGGAATTGACTTGAATTTCATCAACCTCATAGATATCCCTTTCTAAACTATCTCAACAATTCTGCAATCATCTAAAATGACAATAATAAGATTGCAGAGAAAATAAAGTCATAAATGGGAACTGAAAAAGGAGGTAGACCAATGGAACTCCGAGCCAGGATAATACAGAAATCTTTTCATATTACTGCTGCTAAAAACAACATCTATTTATGCTAATGCCAGTTAGGCTTTCAGTTTTAAACCCTATAAAGAAAGATGTATGTTTTGCTAACTTTAATTCTGAAGTTATTTAACAAAGAAATGGATTTAGTAGCAGATTTGGTACCCTGAGATTGTAATTAAAACAAGGACATAAGTTTGCCAGTTGCAATTCAAATGATACTTTATGAATGGTTTAACAGATGAAAAAAGAATGAAAAAAAGAAAAGAAAATACTATAAAAGGGAGAAAGAGAATGCAGGGATTGCTGGAGTTTGCATTCAATTCTACTTATTTTTCATTCATCTCAACTAATACTGGAATTTAGGCAAGTGGGCTAGAAAGACAGAGGATACTTTGAGTGAAATCACTTGGCTTGGAAGAGGTACGTGACCATTATTTTAATTCTTTATCAAGAAATTCTTACTAATTTTGACGGAAATTACATAAATATGTATGTATATGCACATTATGCATATCAAAAATATGATATGCGTATCGACTATGCATATCAAAATCAGTGATGGATTAAATTAAAACGGTGGAAGGAACCATAATATCAGAAAAAATGAACAAGGAACACCTTTCAAAGCAACTGAGGTTTATGATCAGAACATTGTGAAATAAACTTATATAATGAAAAATATGAGAATGAATATGAGTCATATAAGAATATGGCTCAAGCTTTATAGAATGAGCAAAAATTCCCTAAATTTTTGGTTATTGTACTCTCATAGTTTTGTTTTATGGTGTATAAGAACTTTTTCCAGGTGGAATACATTCACATAATTATAGCTATTAATTTCAAGCACCTAACATATGACTTAAATTCTGTCTGTGCAAAAAAAATCTCTTTGCACAAAATGAAATTGATACAAATTTTGAAATCTTAGTATAATGACTAATAAAAATGTATGTTCTTTATTGGCATAACACAAAGAAAGGTTCCAAGACTTACATATGAAGATTCCATAGAAATTAATCATATGCAGTTTTATCAACCAGCAAACAGATTTTGCCATATACTTGAATCAAGTTCAACCCAGGCATACTGCTTGTCAGTTTTCTTAACCCAGTTTTCATCTAGTATAGCATACTTTATGAAATATTCATTAACGTATAAAATCTCATTTACCGTCCTGGTAACTTTTGTATTTTTCTAACAACAGAGATGACGGAGGCCTGTTAGATACTTTTACTGCTATTCAGACCTCTGTTCCATCCAGTGTACAAATGTAATTCCAGGAATTATTTTCCCTAATTGGAAAAATCCACAAAAATACTGGAAAGACAGTATGCAGCAGCTGTAGCTGCAGAAGAATGAGATATCCAGACTGTTCTTCTATGTGTTAACAATTTGGTTCTTCAAAAGAGGCATCTTTATTCATATCTGAACATTTACACATAGGTGACTTAGCATTTCAGAAAACAAATTACCTTCAGTTCATGAGACTACTTTTCTTTACATGCCTAAAAATAACAATGAATATTGACATACACATTTGAATATTTTGGCCAAGGACACTAAGTTCCAGATAGCCTGTCTTGCTCATGTTTAGCAGTCCCTCTATAATGCAATAAAGATACAGAAACATGTTGTGATCATTTAGTACTACTCCATCTTATTTTAGAGATCATGTAAAACAGCTGTCTTATTAGAACCATTATTGCTTCTTGACACATCACAGCAGGTCTTCTACATCTGGTACCCATAGCAGTAAAGCCATAGTTAGGTTTTTGTTTGTTTGTTTGTTTGTTTGTTTTTTAATTGGGCCCAGCTATTAATCACATTGCTTTCTAAATCTCAGTTGCATCAGGAAGCAGTCAGAATGATCAAATATTGCTCTCTGCTGCCAACAACTCAACATCAGCAGAAATTAGAGGCTGCATTTGTTCTGTTTTTCAGATAGCTTTAGGAGTATAAGACAAAATTAAAATCCTAGAGAGTGCCTCCTCCTCCCCTGTCACTCTTTTTGTCTCCAAATGACAATGGGATGACTGGGGAGAAAGATTATCACTAGAGGTACATAAGCTTCTATGTTCATTAGGCTGGAACAGATTTGTCCCATTCCATTGGCTAATACACAGGCTAAAGAAAAGTATGATGCAGCCTTCCTTCTGCACAATTTAGAAATCCTTAATCCTTTGATGGCATGCTAGACCCCCAGGGACTGTTGTGGGGAAGGCTTCGTACAAGATCTCTCATGCCCTTGTCACAGGAATTAATTGGGTCTTTTTAGCTGGATTAGAGGATGAGTCCCTCACCATGGAAACCAGGAAGATGTACTTGAAAAGGAGACTGATTTAAGTGATCAGTTTGCAAGTAACAATTTATCTAATTTCAACACTCATCACAAATAATATTTGAGAAAACAACCTGGGTTGCTTTTTTTGTACTGATTCTATATTCTTTCCTGCCATTCAGGAGCCCTCAGACATCAGAACAGAGAAAGTTTGTTTTCTTTTTCAGAAAGCTGGCAGATTTTTCTTTTCATTAGTCTCCACAACCCCCTTCCCTTTCTCAGATGTAGCAGGAGATCACATCTTTCATGTGGCCATGGCTAATTATCACTCATGAATTGTTTATACATTGTAGCTGCCTTGTCTAGGTAGACACCTATTGGCTTGATTTTGTGAGAGACCCATGCTAGCAATCTGTCTCTCTTTTGAAGTAAGAATTTGTGTTCAAGGGAGAATTTTCCAAGTACTGATAAGCATTCAGTCTTGTTTTAAAACTACCAACACATTTGTGGAACAGAGCCAAGACTTGAAAACCAAACTTTTTTACAGGTGCATAGGCTAGAATTTTGCCTAAACATATGTGTTGACTTAAGCTGCAAAATGACAAGATGGACATCCACTGACGTCTGGATTAATTTTGAAACACTTCTATATGAGGACACTTGAACTATACTGTTACTTCACTCCTAGAGTAATGCAGCTGCTTCAGACTCTTCAAACCAACCACTTACACTGTGTTGCATTATGAATACATTCACGATTAGTTAGTAATTGGGCCTACCAGATTGTACAGGCAGGAAACAGGGCAGTAGAAAGAAAGGACAGGAGAAACATAAAGTTGCTCTTCCACTATTCCCTTATAGCATCTGCACACTACTATGTTCTGATGATTGTCAAAAGCACAGTCTCTCCCACCATATGTTTTTTTCACAGTTTATTGCAGACAAAGTGATGACATCTTTCCAGATTCCCAGATAAATATTTACAGCTCAAAATGAGTTTAATAAATTTCAAAAATTAAAAACCAGTGCTCCAGGATCCAGGATTTGTTCGGTTTTCTCTTATAGCACTTCAGAAAAAAGTTTCAGAGAACTACAAACAGCAAAACGTCCCAGACATTTCTTTCTCAAATGCATAGTGATATTTTTTTAAGTCTTATCTCAGAAAGAGCTGAAGGTAGAATCCTAGGATTATAGAATCATGGAATAATAGAATGGTTTGGTTCGGAAGGGGCCTTAAAGATTATCTAATCCAACCCTCCTTCCATGGGCAGGGACACCTCCCTCTAGACCAGGTTGCTCAAAGCCCTATCTAACCTGGCCTTCAACACTTCCATGGAGGGGCCACCCACCACTTCCCTGGGCAACCTGTTCCTATAAGAAAAAGAGTTACAGATGTACACATACCTACAGCGCTACGAAGTTATTTGCACCAGTGAGACATGGTGGGATGGCTCTTACGACTGGAGCATAGGAATAGAGGGATATAAACTCATTAGGAAAGACAGGCAGGGGAGAAGGGGAGGGGGTGCTGCTCTCTACATTATGGACCAGCTAAAATTCATGGAGCTTCACCTGGGGCAGAGTAAGGAGCTGACAGAGAGCTTATGGGTCAGGGTTAAAGGGAAGGAAGGGGAAGAAAACATCATAGTGGGGGTGTGCTACAGACCACCTGATCAGGACCGAGTGGATGATGCCCTCTATAAACAGATAGCAGCAGCTTCATGTTCAGAAGCCCTGGTCCTCATGGAGGATTTCAATCACCCTGACATCTGCTGGAAGGACAACACAGTGGGGCACCAGTGATTGGAGAGGTTCCCTGAATGCATAGACGAAAACTTCTGCCTCCAGGTGGTAGAGGAACTCACAAGAAAGGGTGCCATACTGGATCTTATCCTCACCAACAAGGATGGGCTGGTGAGCAACATGAAGCTCAAGGACAGCCTTGCAGTCGCACAGCAAGCTCTCCACTCTGGACTTCAGGAGAGCAAACTTTAGTTTCTTCAGGGATATGCTAGGCAAGATGACATGGGATAAAGACCTGGAGGGAAGAGGAGCCAAAGAAAGCTGGTTGATATTCAAGGACCATCTCCTCTGAGTCTAGGAGCAGTGCATCCCAAGAAGGAGGAAGGCAGGCAAGAATGCCAGAAGGCCTGAGTGGAAGAACAAAGAGCTCCTGGACTTACTTAAGCACAAAAGGAAAATCTGTGGGGAGTGGAAGCAAGGACAGATTAGCTGGAAGGATTACAAAAAGTTGCCCAAACAACTAGGGACAGGTTAGGAAAGCTAAAGAGCAGGTGGAATTAAATCTAGCCAGGGATATAAAAGGGAACAAGAAGAATTTCTACAGTTACATCAGTGATAAAAGGAAGATTAGGGAAGATGTGGGCCCTCTCCAGAAGGAAAATGGAGAACTGGTCACAAGGGACACAGAGAAGACTGAGACGTTCAATGACTTATTTGTCTTGATTTTCACTTGTAAGGGCTCTAGCCACACTGCCCAAGTCACAGAAGCCTAAGATAGGGACTGGGAGAAGGAAGATCTGCCCATTTTAAGCGAAGATCAGGTTCGAGATCATCTAAAGAACCTGGAGGTGCACAAGTCCATGGTACCTGATGACATCCATCTGTGGGTCCTGAGAGAACTGGCAGGTAGATACATGACATTTGAGACATTTATCTGTTGTACAATATCCAGATTTAGGTAAGGACATGATATAACAAGAACAAAAGCTCAAATTATTCAAGTGGATTGAAGGCCTACTCCTCTGCATATCTATAAACTCTTAGAGGAAACAACAAAATTCAGAACTTATTTGTCTCAAATTTTGCTTTATTAGTAGAAAGTTTTCACTTGAAAATATGTTGCATCTGTCTACCCATAGACCTCATCTTATTCAGTTATCTTCAGTGAACCTTTCAAGAATCTATCTGAAACATGTTGTTGTATTGCTCCACTGTATAACCTGGAGTCAATGTGCAACTCTGGTTTATTCTCATGACATGCCCAGACATAGGCCAAAAAGCCCATCTAAAAAGTGGCTAGCTGATGCTGATCTCCATACTTTTAAAGATGTACCACTAGCTTAATGTTTGCTTTAATGGATCCTATATTCCTTTCAGAGACAGTCCCAAGACTGAGCCCACAAGCCAAGTCTCGTGCTTGTGCAGCTATCTGTGTCCAAAAATTCAGCCTCAGAAAGAATAAAAGCATGCTCTGAAGTGCACAGGGACCCTTGATATTGCAGAATGACCTTGCCTAGCTTTTACTTACTTCCTGCCTCTAAAACATCTTGAAGAAAACTGGAGAGCAGGGAACATCTAGGGATGTACCAGATATACATAAGAAATCTGTTAATAGGAAGTCTATTCATCCCAAATCACTTTTTCGGAGACTAGTATGAATAGCTATAAAACAGCCTGAGCATTAACTACAGTCAGAATTTTGACTGTGGTGTATGTCATGGCCTTAAAAACACGGTATTCAGAAGAAAAAAAACAACAAACAAAACAACACAAAACAGTAATATAAAGAAACCATTTCCACATCTGACAAAATTACAGAAATAGATTCAAACCCTTTAACAGAATCTCTGGCTTCATCCTGAAAGAAATTCTTCAAGAAACTTTTCCAGTAAGAATAATTCCTCAGTCGCAACTCATTTTATATTGTCAAGCTGCTACAACCACTTTGTCCTGAGTATAAAAGAGAAAAAATTATGTCAATGCCTAAGTTTAAGTTTTTAATATCCTCAAAGACATGTGACCCCTAAAAACTTGAATTTACTCAATAAGATCCACTCAAGAGCACACACATTTTTCTTTAAACACACAGAAGTGCACATGCACACGCAGCCCTCCAAAAAATATGACAATGCTGTATTTTCCAAATTGTGCTAATTGGCACGACAATCTATGGAATAAAGAAAAAATAA